CCTCAGGTCTCCACGTCTTTGTCTTCTCGGATCAAGTAGTGAACTTCCGTTGGAATTCCTGTAGCCGTTCCCGTGCTCTCTTGGCTGTCTCCTTCTCTCCGCGCCGGGGCATGCGTTGCCATGGCGATGTTTGGTCCAGTCTTCGGGTCGCTGGTGTGCCAGTTCCGCTGGTATTATCCACACCGAGGTGGCCCTCAACTAGAAGACCTCGGCGATGCAGATCTCTTTCGGCTTCCTCAGCGCTGTTGTAGGTCTGTTGGCCACTCTCCCAATGGATACGCAATCGGGTGTATGGCGTCTGGAAGCGTATGCCGTTCTCTTTCAAAACAAGCTTAATCTTTTTGTAAGCTTTGCGTTGCTGGATCACGTCTGTTGTGTAGTCGTGGTCAAAAGAGAGAAATTTATCCCCAAGCTGAATCTTCTTTTTCCAGGCGTTTCTGAGAACCGCTTCTTTGACTCTATACTGAAGAAAGTTAACAACTATTGATCTCGGGGGGGTGTCGGGGGTCGGTTTCGGGCCAAGTGAGCGGTGTGCGCGTTGTATTTGGGCATCAGTCCCTTCTTCAATAAGTTTTTCGCTCACCAACAGCTTCTCCACAAATTGAATCACAGAGGGACCTTCCATTTCCTCGCGTACCCCGTATATTCTGAGGTTGTTTCGCCTCCCCCTTGACTCCAAATCGTCAACTTTTCCCCGCAATGCCCTTTGCTCTTTTAGTGACTCTTGGAGCACTTCATTTGCCACTGCCGACCAACTTTCCAATTCCTCAATTCACGCCGCCGCCTCCTCGAGTTTATTGTCATGTTCTTGTAAGGATAGCGTCGTAGCAGCTAACTGTTGGTTAATCTGTTGTCTGAATTCTGACAGTTCCTCTTTCACTTCTCTCTTTACTTCTTCTTTAAACGATGTTAGATCGGCATTTAGCTGAGTTCGAAGGTTGCTTATTTGATCGCTTATATCTTTCAAACTTGGTTGAGAAGTCGAGACACTGCTGTGTGCGTTTATGCTAGCATTGTTAGCATCTGGTGTATTCGGTTCACCTCCTTTGCGTCCCTCTTGTTCCGCTTTTCCAGTCATCTTTTGGTTTCTTGTTTTAGTACCCCCGCTCATATTCCGAGTCTTTTACCTAAACTTAGATAATATTAGCTGAATTCAAGGGGTTTTAATCGTCTGACTTTACGGAGCTATCGTTTCACACGTCCACCTCGTTCCGTCGCATACCGGAAGCCGCCGGATAGATGCACTTTTATGATGGACAGATGCACTTTTGTGATGGATAGATGCACTTTTATGATAGACAGATGCACTTTTGTGATGGATAGATGCACTTTTATGATGGACAGATGCACTTTTGTGATGGATAGATGCACTTTTATGATGGACAGATGCACTTTTGTGATGGATAGATGCACTTTTATAATGGATAGATGCACTTTTATGATGGACAGATGCACTTTTGTGATGGATAGATGCACTTTTATAATGGATAGATGCACTTTTATAATGGATAGATGCACTTTTATGATGGACAGATGCACTTTTATGATGGACAGATGCACTTTTGTGATGGATAGATGCACTTTTATGATGGACAGATGCACTTTTGTGATGGATAGATGCACTTTTATGATGGACAGATGCACTTTTGTGATGGATAGATGCACTTTTATGATGGACAGATGCACTTTTGTGATGGATAGATGCACTTTTATGATGGACAGATGCACTTTTGTGATGGATAGATGCACTTTTATGATGGACAGATGCACTTTTATGATGGACAGATGCACTTTTGTGATGGATAGATGCACTTTTATAATTGATAGATGCACTTTTATGATGGACAGATGCACTTTTGTGATGGACAGATGCACTTTTGTGATGGATAGATGCACTTTTATGATGGACAGATGCTCTTTATGACGGATAGATGCACTTTATGATGGATAGATGCACTTCTATGACGGATAGATGCACTTTTATGATGGATAGATGCACTTTTGTGATGGATAGATGCACTTTTATGATGGACAGATGCACTTTTATGATGGACAGATGCACTTTTATGATGGACAGATGCACTTTTATGATGGACAGATGCACTTTTATGATGGATAGATGCACTTTTATGATGGATAGATGCACTTTTATGATGGATAGATGCACTTCTTTTGATGGATAGGTGCACTTTTGTGATGGATAGATGCACTTTTATGATGGACAGATCCACTTTTATGATGGATAGATGCACTTTTATGATGGATAGATGCACTTTTGTGATGGATAGATGCACTTTTATGATGGACAGATGCACTTTTGTGATGGATAGATGCACTTTTATGATGGACAGATGCACTTTTATGATGGATAGATGCACTTTTATGATGGATAGGTGCACTTTTGTGATGGATAGATGCACTTTTTATGATGGATAGATGCTCTTTTATGATGGATAGGTGCACTTTTGTGATGGATAGATGCACTTTTATGATGGATAGATGCACTTTTGTGATGGATAGATGCACTTTTTATGATGGATAGATGCTCTTTTATGATGGATAGGTGCACTTTTGTGATGGATAGATGCACTTTTATGATGGACAGATCCACTTTTATGATGGATAGATGCACTTTTATGATGGATAGGTGCACTTTTGTGATGGATAGATGCACTTTTTATGATGGATAGATGCACTTTTGTGATGGATAGATGCACTTTTATGATGGATAGGTGCACTTTTGTGATGGATAGATGCACTTTTATGATGGACAGATCCACTTTTATGATGGATAGATGCACTTTTATGATGGATAGATGCACTTTTGTGATGGATAGATGCACTTTTGTGATGGATAGATGCACTTTTATGATGGATAGATGCACTTATGATGGATAGATGCACTTTTATGATGTATAGATGCACTTTTATGATGTATAGATGCACTTTTATGATGGATAGGTGCACTTTTGTGATGGATAGATGCACTTTTATGATGGATAGATGCACTTTTATGATGGATAGATGCACTTTTATGATGGACAGATGCACTTTTATGATGGATAGATGCACTTTTATGATGGACAGATGCACTTTTATGATGGATAGATGCACTTTTATGATGGACAGATGCACTTTTATGATGGATAGGTGCACTTTTGTGATGGATAGATGCACTTTTATGATGGATAGATGCACTTTTGTGATGGATAGATGCACTTTTATGATGGACAGATGCACTTTTATGATGGATAGATGCACTTTTATCATGGATAGATGCACTTTTATGATGGATAGATGCACGTTTATGATGGATAGATGCACTTTTATGATGGACAGATGCAAGTTTTTGAGCTTCAATCTATTGGTTGCAATCCACTGTCATTATAAAAATTGGAAGAGCCAAAGATATTTTTCAATATAACTCTGATTGTGTTCGTCGGAAAGAAGAAAGTCATATACACCTAGGATGGCTTGAGGGCGAGTAAATCATGGGGAGATTTTCATTTTAAAGTGAACTAATCCTTTAATTTCTGAACTTCTGCTTGCGGGTCCGACCTCTCTTACAGGTCTAACGCGAGTCTGATCTCAGGCCGTCTGTTAAAGTCTTCAGTCTGAGCTGATTTAGGACACATGGAGCACATTAAAGCTTCAACCAGACAACCACAGCTGACCTTGAGACGTGACCTCGCGCTCCACCCTTCACACGTTCCCATAATTATCCTCCTGTAAAGCTCCCTAATTGCCAGGCCAGCTCACTGTAAAGTGCTCGCGCTACACACGTCTGTTCAGTGTCACGAGTAAGAAAGTGAAAGGCACATTCCTGGCCCTTCTCGTAAACGCACTCACTTTATGATTCGTGAGTGTTTTTCACCAGCTCACAGTCCACCGGGCCTGAACATGAGCAACACCACATCAAAATCACATCAGTGACCTGATACTGTACACCGCCATTAAAGCCATTATTGAACCACAAAGACCATGACTGAATTAAATCAAGCATGCTCTGCTTTTCAAACTGGAGTCCAGTGACCCACAGGGAGTGCTTGGGGGTCCATGAAAAAAAAAGATTAAACTAAAAAAAATAATTTGATTAAATAAATAAAAAACTATATAAAAATGATCATAAAATTGGATTGAAATAAATAAAAACATAATAAAAAAAATAAAAGATTTGATTAAAACTATTTACATAATTATTTTAAATTATAATTTATTTAAATAAATTCAAACTGATTTAAATTTTTTAATATTTATTACATTTATTTATTAAAATATATTTATTTAAAAAATATTAAAAGACCGAAACAAATACATTTGTTTTCAATAAATAATAAATAAGCAAACATTTATTTAAATAAATAAAACTTAAATACATAAATGCATTTGATTAAAATAAATAAACACAATTTGATTTAAATAAGTAATAAATAAAACAATTATTAAAATAAATAATTAGAATAAAAATAATAATAATGGGATCAAATAAAAAAATATTTAAATTAATTGATAAAAAATTTACAACTTGTTTTCAATAATAAATAAATAAATATTTATTTATTTAAATGAATAAAAATACTTAAAAACATAAATGCATTTGATTAAAATAAAATAAAACAAACGCAATTTGATTTAAATATGTAATAAATGAATAAATTTGGATTAAAACAAAAAAAATTTAAAATGGCTTAAATAAAATAAAAAAAATTGCAATGCAATGGTGAACACAAATTTTACGCATTTTCATAACATTAATATTTTAATGTTTGTTAAAGTATTAACTGGGTCTTTATACTTAAAAAAATATACAGTTGCCTTTAAAATTTTAGGATTTTAGGAAGATCATAATAATTTATTTGCGAGCCCGTGGCATTAAAAGACTGAAAACCCTGTTTTAGGATTAAATGATCATCAAAGTTGTGATTCTTCTAACACACACAGCAGATTCACTCAGTATAGAGGACATCACACAACGGCGTGTAGCATGAAGTGTTTCTCACGTGACTCTGAGCTCATCTGTATCAGGACAGCTGTGGACCGAGCCAGCAGACCCGGACTCCCTCCTCTCAGCAGAACCAGAACCACCGGCAGAGCCTGGTACTCCAGGAACAGCGCCTGTCCTTCATCGGTCCGCACCGCACACGACAGCACGTCTACAGCCTGAGCCAGAACGTCCACTACAGGAGAAGAAGTCAAGACACCTTCATTTATACAGCACCTTTAAAGGGATAGTTCACCCAAAAATGATAAATCTGTCAGTAATGACTCCCTCATGTTGTTCCAACGTTCGTTCATCTTCAGAACACAAATTAAGATATTTTGATTAAATCTGAGAGCTGTCTCACTCCTCCATAGGCTTCTAAGGGATTGAAACTTGCCGGCCCAGAGAGTTATTAAAGACATCGTTAAAATAGTAATCTCACCATAAATGCATTTAATTAAATACTACTATTTTTCACAGTCATCTTTTTACTTTACGACCGGGGTAAAGCAAGGAAAACTACAATTTACTTCAACAATGCGACATAATGAACGACACTCGTCTCATTCGTGGAGGTGGAAAAACAAGTTATTTGTGACATGCAAGATTTATTGTATACAGATTTAAATTATGCAAAAGAAAAGTCTGCTTTTTTTTGGTCAATTTTAAGTTTGAATTTAAAACATTTGTGATTTTAATATAAGTAGCCTACATGGTTAAATTCTGCCACTTGTTTGAGCAACTTAATATATATTTTATATACACTCTAAACAATGCTGGGTTGTTTCAACCCAAATTTGGGTAAAATATGGACAAACCCAAATGTTGGGTTAAAAATGTAATTTCAAATTTTAACCCAACTTCAACTTTCACTTTCAAATGTAAATTTTGTAATTGCATTTTTAACCCAACATTTGGGTTTGTCCATATTTGACCCAAATTTGGGTTGAAACAACCCAGCATTTTTTAGAGTGTAGAAGTAATGCATTGAATAGCCTAATACGTTGTTTAAATTGTGTTTAAACGTCTATTAAATAGTGTATATGTGTACAAAGAGAATCGCACTGGTGACAAAACTGTTTTTAAATAAAAATTGCTGATAACTTCTGGATTTGAAATACAAATAGTGAGTTAATGTGTCTGTGGTACAGCCGTGGATCAGTTGCTCACTGCAAACGCAGCATATGTGAAAGCACTAGCGCGTGCTGTCCTGTACCGCATACGGAGTGTGTGTGAAACGGGCGTTAAGCTGAATAACAACAGAAGAACAAATCTTTAGGGTCTCGGAGAAAAATCTGGTCTATCGGAGACGTCAAATAGATTTCTTAGGAAAGAACAGCTTTTTACAGCTGGATTTCTCATATTTGATAAAGTTTTCATCACTGATTCCATTATTTTCCTGTTTATCACAGTGAAGCTGCTTTGAAACGATCTGTAGCGCTGTAGAAATAAAGACTTGAAACAATATTCTAAATGCAAATATATAAATAAACACACAATCATTCATATTTAGCACTCCAATATAAATGCACTTTTCAAGGAATCTTTATTTATTTTTGTATGATAAACCGTATTACACTATATTATTGAATTAAAAAAGAGTTCATCTCATTTTGCTTGTTTCAACAGAATGTTTCAATATTTGTGCTGGAAAACGAGGATGGTTTGCATCTTTTGTAGTGCATGCGACATTTAATGCCACACTCTAAAAAATGCTGGGTTGTTTCAACCAAAATTTGGGTCAAATATGGACAAACCCAAATGTTGGGTTAAAAATGCAATTAAAAAATTTACAGTTGAAAGTGAAAGTTGAAGTTGGGTTAAAATTTGAAATGACATTTTTAACCCACCATTTGGGTTAAAACAACCCAGCATTGTTTAGAGTGCATAAGACCTTCTGATTGAAGACTTTAACAGTAGAACAGAGATTCGACGCATCATGTTGATGAGATGTTTTAGACATTAATGCAGCTTGAGCCATTTCTCCTGACTATAGGAACGTTCATGACTTCAACATGTTATTCATTTCCATGATGCATCTCCAATTTTTCAATGACTTTTGGTGTCAGAAATAGACCATTTATTAATGGAAAATTGAGTTTGTGTGTTTTTTTAAGCATATAAAGTATGAGATGAACTGCAGACTCGTGTACAACACTGCCATCTGCTGCACAGTGACATCATCAAAGAGAGACCAGGTCAAAAACATGCAAGAATGACCCTAAACGTGAACGTATGTGTGTGTGTAATATTGTTCTATATATAAATTTGTATTTTTATATACAATTCATATTTTTATATATACATACATACATACATAAGTGATTTCCAGCCTAGGAAAATGTACATCTTCACCCTTTGTTCAAATATTACTAAATATTTTGTAGTCATATTGCGCAGTTGTGCTTGGAGTCGATTGTTTTATTAGTGATAATAACGCAATGAAACATGACAAATTGTCCAGCCATCATTTATCATTATCATTATCCAGGCTGTCATACAAAGAAATTATGAACACATGCAAAAACAAGAGAGAACCAATGAGATATTAATAACTGGTTATGTTGTAATCAATGTTTGTTTTTCCTCTAAGCTTTTTGATTAAAACTATTTATATAATTATTTTAAATTATAATTGATTTAAATAAATTGATTTAAAACATAAAATATTTATTAAATGTATTTATTAAAATATATTTATTTAAAAAATATTAAAAGACCGAAACAAATACATTTGTTTTCAATAAATAATAAATAAGCAAACATTTATTTAAATAAATAAAACTTAAATACATAAATGCATTTGATTAAAATAAATTAAATAAATAAACAAAATTTGATTTAAAAATAAATATGTTGTAATCTTTTTGTTTTGCATTGTAAAATAAAAACATGTAGCTTTAGTTTGCTTTTTTTTTTGCCAAATAATTGTGTCAGATAAATACCTTAACTAAGTTCTTCCCTCATATTCAAAAAATATATATCAAATATTTTCCATATATTTTAAAGGTTTAATTGAACTTGTTAATAATTAAAATGCAGTTGCTCATATAATGATTTTAATGCATATAGTGATTGTCTATTTATCTTTACATTTTTATAAACAATTTAATTAATCGGTATATATGATCACAAAAACATAACACTTTTGATTTCAATAATGTATTAGTAAATGTTTAAATTAATATTAAGTAAGATTAATAAATGCTTTAGAAGTATTTCATTGTTAGATCATGTTCACGAATGCTAAAATATGGAACCTTATTGTAAAGTGTTACCAAAAAAAAAAAAAACTATTCTTTTTGCAAAATATTAAAACAGTAAATGCACTGCATGATCATTACTGTGGTTTCCCGGAGTGATTCTTGTCTATTAGACTCATTTCAGGACAATATTGCTCAGACATGTTTGACCTTGCCTTTTACGCCTTTTTTCACCTTTGTCGCCATTGGCTTGCTTAGTTGGGGACATTTAATTTAATATTCAACAATATTATTGATGTGCCTGCATATAGAGCCTAAGCCTCTCCCCTTCCGGTCGACCACGATGGGTCCTTATTTCGGAAAAATATTATATGGTAGTCAATGGCGAGAGACAACAAATATTTTGATCTCGTTTGAATTGTGCCCTGAATTACACATATGATGTTTGTCAATTTAAAAGATACATTTTAAAGTCAAGAAAGTCGCAGTTTGATGTAAAACTGTTGAGGTGTAAGACTGTGAAAACACGTGATTACAAAGACTACAAACCCCAAAGGCGCACATGTTCTCTCAATGAATGAAGCTAACTTTACTGAAGCTAACTTTACTGAAGCTAACTTTACTGAAGCTAACTTTACTGAAGCTAACTTTACTGAAGCTAACTTTACTGAAGCTGACTTTACTGAAGTTAACTTTACTGAAGCTGACTTTACTGAAGCTAACTTTACTGAAGCTAACTTTACTGAAGCTGACTTTACTGAAGCTGACTTTACTGAAGTTAACTTTACTGAAGCTAACTTTACTGAAGCTAACTTTACTGAAGTTAACTTTACTGAAGCTAACTTTAATGAAGCTAACTTTACTGAAGCTAACTTTACTGAAGTTAACTTTACTGAAGCTGACTTTACTGAAGCTAACTTTACTGAAGCTAACTTTACTGAAGTTAACTTTACTGAAGCTGACTTTACTGAAGTTAACTTTACTGAAGCTGACTTTACTGAAGCTAACTTTACTGAAGCTAACTTTACTGAAGCTGACTTTACTGAAGCTGACTTTACTGAAGCTAACTTTACTGAAGCGAACTTTACTGAAGCTAACTTTACTGAAGCTAACTTTACTGAAGCTGACTTTACTGAAGCTAACTTTACTGAAGCTAACTTTACTGAAGCTCACCTTACTGAAGCTAACCTTACTGAAGCTAACTTTACTGAAGATAACCTTACTGAAGCTAACTTTACTGAAGCTAACTTTACTGAAGCTAACCTTACTGAAGCTAACCCTACTGAAGCTAACTTTACTGAAGCTAACTTTACTGAAGCTAACTTTACTGAAGCTGACTTTACTGAAGCTAACTTTACTGAAGCTAACTTTACTGAGCTAACTTAACTGAAGCTAACTTTACTGAAGCTAACTTTACTGAAGCTAACTTTACTGAAGCTGACTTTACTGAAGCTAACTTTACTGAAGCTAACCTTACTGAAGCTAACTTTACTGAAGCTAACTTTACTGAAGCTAACTTTACTGAAGCTAACTTTACTGAAGCTAACTTTACTGAGCTAACTTTACTGAAGCTAACTTTACTGAGCTAACTTTACTGATGCTAACTTTACTGAAGCTGACTTTACTGAAGCTGACTTTACTGATGCTAACTTTACTGAAGCTAACCTTACTGAAGCTAACCCTACTGAAGCTAACTTTACTGAAGCTAACTTTACTGAAGCTGACTTTACTGAAGCTAACTTTACTGAAGCTAACCCTACTGAAGCTAACTTTACTGAAGCTAACTTTACTGAAGCTGACTTTACTGAAGCTAACTTTACTGAAGCTAACCTTACTGAAGCTAACTTTACTGAAGCTAACTTTACTGAAGCTAACTTTACTGAAGCTAACTTTACTGAAGCTAACTTTACTGAGCTAACTTTACTGAAGCTAACTTTACTGAGCTAACTTTACTGAAGCTAACTTTACTGAAGCTGACTTTACTGAAGCTGACTTTACTGATGCTAACTTTACTGAAGCTAACCTTACTGAAGCTAACCCTACTGAAGCTAACTTTACTGAAGCTAACTTTACTGAAGCTAACTTTACTGAAGCTAACTTTACTGAAGCTGACTTTACTTTTTTCTTTTTTTTTTCTTTTTTTTTTATTCACAATACAATACCTCTTCAACACATTACAATAGTACAGTTTGAAGATACAAAGTAGGTTAAGTATCATGAAATGGGTCTCCCAAAGAAGCTAAAAAGCTTATAAATAGGGGCCCATGGTTCTTGTACAAGTAATTATAGACAAGGTACAGTGAGAACACAATAAGTGCACACAGGGAATACCACAACATACGTATTAACAACATACTCACTCATACAATCATACACATATCCCAGTAATCCATGAAAGTCAGTTTTAGAATTAGATATAGGTTAATAAGAACTTATGTTTTAATTGTCTTTTGAAGTTGGAGATAGTGGGCAACACCTTAAGACCATCATCAATCCCGTTCCAGATCTGCGGCCCCTTACAAACAACACTCATACTGGTGCGCACATGTCGGCGGTATTTTCCGAATATAAGTGGTTTGATTCTCGTTTGGTATGTATGCCGGGGGCTGTAGATAGGAACAAGACTACTCAACCTAGGGTTCAGGCTATTTACGATTTGAAACATTAGACAGGCATTATGATATTTATTTAGCTCAGCCAGTCTTAATATCTTAAAGTGATAAAAAAAGGGGCGGGTCGGGGAATTTATCTCCGACCAGGACAGAGCCCGTATGGCTTTCTTTTGCAAGGTTTTGAGTTTTTTAAGATGACTTGTAAAGGTGTTGCACCATATCACATTACAATAGATAAGATGTGGTTCAAAGAGAGTTTTATACATCATCATAAGGGCAGACAGAGGAAGAAAGTGCCTGATCTTATAAAACAAGCCAACATACTTTGATAATTTATTTACTAGATGGTCAATATGACATTTAAAGCTAAGAGATTCATCAATGAGGACCCCCAAAAATGTTGTTGAGTATACTCTTTTTATTACCTGCCCATTGATTTTAATCAGGCATTGTGCAGTGTTTTTTTAAAAAGCTGATTTTTTGTTCGCATTAAATAAAATGAAATTTGTTTTGCTAATATTTAATGACAGTTTGTTACATTTAAACCAGGAGTCAACTTTAGTTAACTCTGAGTTTACTATATCTTGTAGTATATGTGGGTTTCTGTGTGATGCAAATAGATTTGTGTCGTCAGCAAAAATTATTTTATGAAATATTTTAGAGGAATTTATAGAATCATTTATGTATATAATGAATAGAAGTGGACCCAAGATTGAACCTTGGGGGACCCCATAGATTATAGGTATACAAGTAGAGTTTTGATCATCGACATGGACATACTGTTCCCTCTCATTTAGATAACTTCTGAACCATTCAAGTGCTAGACCTCTGATACCATAATGATGTAATTTGTATAATAAGATATCAAAGTCAATGGTGTCAAATGCTTTTGATAGGTCCAAGAAGACACCAACACCGCATTTTCCCTCTTCAATACAGTCATTAATTTGTTCTATTAAGTCGCGTTTTGCCATACAGGTTGTGCTCTTTTTTCTAAAACCATATTGTGAAGGGACAAGAATATCCAATTTGTCAAGATAACCACTAAGTCTATTGTGTACCACTTTCTCCATTACTTTAGAGAAAGTGGGTAGAATTGATATGGGCCGGTAATTGCTCATATCATTTCTGTCACCAGATTTAAAAATTGGGATTATCTTAGCAATTTTTGTCATTTTTGGTACAGTACCAGTAAATAAAGAAAGATTAATACAATGAGCCAATGGTTCTACAATAATGTTCGCTACTGCCTTCATGATCCTACTGCATATTCCATCCACACCAGCTGAGCATGAGCTCCTCAAGTCCAAAATGATCTTGAGGAGTTCAGTACCGTCTGTTGGCATCATAAAAAATGAGTGAGTGTAGCTACCAGAGAGAAAGTGCTTAAAGGTGACATCCTGGGGTTGGCTTATCTTTTTAGACAAATTTGCACCTATTGAAGCAAAATGATCATTAAAAGTCTGTGTTAGATCAGCTTTGGCATCACCAATGTCAGGTAGAACAGTCGGTTTATGCCTCCTATTAAGAACTTCATTTAGAACATTCCATGTCCTCCTGCAGTCCCCCTGCGAACCTTTTAACAGTTCGGTATAGTGAATTCGTTTTCTTTTTCTTATGATCTGTGTTAGTTTATTTTTATATGAAATATATTTCTCTTTTTTTAAGATAGAAGGGCTTTTTATGTAAGATTTATAAAGCTTAGCTTTATATTTAATTGACTTCAAAATCCCCTTTGTGATCCAAGGGTTCTGGAGAGTAGTACTGCATCTGACAGTCTTCTCAGGAATACTGAAGCTAACCTTACTGAAGCTGACTTTACTGAAGCTGACTTTACTGAAGCTGACTTTACTGAAGCTAACTTTACTGAAGCTAACATTACTGATGCTAACTTTACTGAAGCTAACTTTACTGAAGCTAACTTTACTGAAGCTAACTTTACTGAAGCTAACTTTACTGAAGCCAACTTTACTGAAGCTAACTTTACTGAAGCTAACCTTACTGAAGCTAACCTTACTGAAGCTAACCTTACTGAAGCTGACTTTACTGAAGCTGACTTTACTGAAGCTGACTTTACTGAAGCTAACTTTACTGAAGCTAACATTACTGAAGCTAACTTTACTGAAGCTAACTTTACTGAAGCTAACTTTACTGAAGCCAACTTTACTGAAGCTAACCTTACTGAAGCTAACTTTACTGAAGCTAACATTACTGAAGCTAACTTTACTGAAGCTAACTTTACTGAAGCTGACTTTACTGAAGCTAACCTTACTGAAGCTAACCTTACTGAAGCTAACCTTACTGAAGCTAACCTTACTGAAGCTAACTTTACTGAAGCTAACTTTACTGAAGCTAACCTTACTAAAGCTAACCTTACTGAAGCTAACCTTACTGAAGCTAACTTTACTGAAGCTGACTTTACTGAAGCTAACTTTACTGAAGCTAACTTTACTGAAGCTGACTTTACTGAAGCTAACTTTACTGAAGCTGACTTTACTGAAGCTGACTTTACTGAAGCTAACTTTACTGAAGCTAACCTTACTGAAGCTGACTTTACTAAAGCTGACTTTACTGAAGCTAACATTACTAAAGCTAACTTTACTGAAGCTAACTTTACTGAAGCTAACTTTACTGAAGCTAACTTTACTGAAGCTAACCTTACTGAAGCTAACTTTACTGAAGCTGACTTTAATGAAGCTAACTTTACTGAAGCTAACTTTACTGAAGCTAACTTTACTGAAGCTAACTTTACTGAGCTAACTTTACTGATGCTAACTTTAATGAAGCTAACTTTACTGAAGCTAACTTTACTAAAGCTGACTTTAATGAAGCTAACTTTACTGAAGCTAACTTTACTAAAGCTGACTTTACTGAAGCTAACTTTACTGAAGCTAACTTTACTGAAGCTGACTTTACTGAAGCTAACTTTACTGATGCTAACTTTACTGAAGCTAACTTTACTGAAGCTAACCTTACTGAAGCTAACCTTACTGAAGCTAACCTTACTGAAGCTAACTTTACTGAAGCTAACTTTACTGAAGCTAACTTTACTGAAGCTAACTTTACTGAAGCTAACTTTACTGAAACTAACTTTACTGAAGCTAACTTTACTAAAGCTAACTGTACTGAAACTAACTTTACTGAAGCTAACTTTACTAAAGCTAACTTTACTGAAGCTAACTCTACTGAAGCTAACTTTACTGAAGCTAACTTTACTGAAGCTAACTTTACTGAAGCTAACTTTACTGAAGCTAACTTTACTGAAACTAACTTTACTGAAGCTAACTTTACTAAAGCTAACTGTACTGAAACTAACTTTACTGAAGCTAACTTTACTAAAGCTAACTTTACTGAAGCTAACTCTACTGAAGCTAACTTTACTGAAGCTACCTTTACTGAAGCTAACTTTACTGAAGCTAACTTTACTGAAGCTAACTTTACTGAAGCTAAGCTAACGTCTGTCATTGTTTCTATAGTCTTACGTTATAATCGTAGCGTTACGCCGTCATCGAGTGTTTTGTACCAGACTGCACACACACCAGCAGCGGATCTCGCTCGTTGTTTCGCTTCCCGGGAGATGTAGTTCATCGAGCGATTTTCACATAAAACTAAATGTCACTCTTCTGTTTCATGACAAACTGCGACTTTCTTGACTCTCATAATTATCTTTTAAATTGACAAACATCATATGTGTAATTCAGGGCACAGTTCAGACGGAATAAAAAGATAAGTTGTCTCTCGCCATCGACTACCATACATATTTTTTCCGAAATAAGGTCCCATGAGCCGGAAGCGGAGGGGAGGGGCTTAGGCTCTCTATAGACACCATTACATGAGAACTGAACTGAGCTGGACGATGACATCACTGTTTTCTCCAGAGCGGCTATATATAAATGAACTAAATTAATAACTTTTTTACAACAAAAATGAAACATCACTGAACTTACTTAAGCTGGACTATGACGCTATTTTCTTCTAGAAACATTATTTTCCTGTTATGACTGTAAAGCTGCTTTGAAACACTGTATTGTAAAAAGCGCTGTATAAATAAAGCTGACTCGACTTGTTTGACCTTGACTGATGGTTTTGATGATGATGAGGCTGCACAGAAAGCGTGTGTGAAGACAGGAGCTCTTAAACAGTGGACACACACGCGGACGAGCCGGGTCACATGATCCTCGAGACACCTCGTCACCCAGCCTCCTCAGCGTGGACGTCAGGACAGCGTGCTGGAAGAGAGAGACCGAGATGTGGCGTTAAAACACACACTACTGAACGAATGTATTCCTTTTTTAGCAATTTACCCTTGAAAACTCTACCACAAGCTTATAGGGACCTTCTTGATGCCCCAGTTAGTAGAGAAGAGGCTATGCAAGCACTTCAGAGTCTCCAGGCCGGTAAAGCACCGGGCCCGGATGGCATAAGTTCTGAATTATATAAGGAATTCCATTATGTCCTGTTGGATCCCCTTCTTGAGATGTTAAACCACTCTTTTGAATTAGGATTGCTGCCCGATTCGCTAAGAGACGCTGATATTTCGTTGATTTTAAAAAAAGGGAAAGATCCAGAGGATTGCGGATCTTACAGGCCGATAGCTCTGCTCAATTCTGATTTGAAACTGTTATCCAAAATACTTGCACTCAGATTAGAGCAAGTATTGCCAATATTAGTCTGTGAGGACCAGACTGGTTTCATTAAAGGAAGGAGTTCTAGCCACAATGTCAGAAGGCTTTTAAACATAATTAATATCTCACAGAATCAAAAACTTGACACTTTAGTTATTTCATTAGATGCCGAAAAGGCATTTGATCGTGTTGAGTGGCCCTACTTATTTTATACTTTGCAGAAATTTGGGTTTGGGGACAAGTTCTTGAGGTGGGTGCAGCTGCTCTATAATAAACCTTCATCTGCCGTCTTCACTAATGGCATCAGATCTAAAACATTTCTTCTGGGTAGGGGTACCAGGCAGGGCTGCCCACTTTCGCCATTATTGTTTGCCCTTGCCGTTGAACCCTTGGCAGAAGCCATAAGACATGATTCATTGATTAAAGGGGTTACAATAAATGACAGACAACACAAGATTTCACTCTATGCAGACGATATTCTGCTATTTTTGTCGGATGCTAATACATCAGTTCCACGACTGGTTGATGTTATACACTTCTTTGGAGAATTTTCTGGTTATAAGATTAATTTGACAAAATCTGTTGCTTTACCATTGGGCAGTCTCACCTCGGAAACACAAATGCTCTCCTCTTTCCCTGTTAAATATTCCATGTCAGGTTTTACTTACCTAGGTCTTCATATAACCCCAACATTCCAACATATATTTAAAAGTAACTTTGCTCCTCTTTTAAAAAAAATTCATAATGATTTGCAGAGGTGGAATGCTCTTCCCGTATCTTTTCTGGGAAGAATTGCTATAATCAAAATGAACATTTTACCTCGTTTAATATACCCTTTAATGATGCTGCCTATTTTACTTTCTAGCAAGGTTATTAAGGAGCTTAATGGATGGCTTTCTCGTTTTATATGGAGTAAAAGGAAACCAAAACTGAAAATGAGCAAACTACAGCTCCCTAGTCATAAGGGTGGTCTAGATGTTCCCGATATCAGATTGTATCAGCTGGCGTGTCAGCTTCGTTTTGTGGCGGACTGGTTGAAGAATGATCCAGATTCTATTTGGCTTGATCTTGAAGCCTCACAATCTCTGTGCCCTCTTCAGAATCTTTTGTTTGTTGTCAATCCTAAAAAGTTAAAAGTTCTATATGATAGCCCAATCATACGGAACACTCTTAAAGCTTGGGCACAGTCGCGCAAGCTAGAGGGTAGGTTTAATCTGACATCAGCCCTTACACCAATTCAAAATAATCCAGATTTTCCACCTGGTACTGATGACTCTGGGTTTAACCTCTGGAATTCTTTAGGTATTGTGAGGCTGAAAGATATATTTGAGGGTTCGTCTCTTCTGTCTTTTGAACAGTTGTCTGCTAAATTTAATCTGCCAAGACATCATTTCTTTAGGTACTTGCAGCTAAGAGACTTCATTGGAAAAAAGACCACTTTGAGTACTGATAATTCTAGGACTGAAATTGAGAAAATACTACAAGAAGACACGAGACAAAAAAAAAAAATATCTCATATTTATGTTACACTAAGTCTGACTCTCCCAGGAGACACAGATAATCTCAGACAGATGTGGGAAAATGATTTTGTAGTAAATATCTCAAGAGAGGATTGGGATTTAGTCTGGGATCATGCTAAAAGAATATCAGTGTGTAACAGAGCACGTGCTATTCAATTCAAAATAATACGTCGGCTACATATCACCCCTTATATTAGAAATAAAATGGACCCCAAACTTTCCCCCAATTGCTCAAAATGTAAAATTTCAGTTGGTAATTATATTCACTGTATTTGGGCTTGTCCTAAAATTCAGTTGTTTTGGAAGAAAATCGCAGACCACATTGGCAATATTCTGGGAATAACAATTGATGTTGATCCTTGTCCATTTATTCTAGGTCTGCCGGCTGGTATTGTTTTGAATAAATATCATGAAAGACTTTTTAGTATTTTAACTTTTGCTGCAAGAAAGAACATTTTGATGTTTTGGATAAGTGAAAAAAGTCCTTCAATTAAAAAATGGCATAACCTTGTAAAAGAGCTCATCCCAATGGAATTTTTAACATGTATATTACATTCTTCAACAGATATATTCAATCGGATATGGACACCCTATTTGGACTATGTTTCTCTCACTTTGGACGATTGCTTACTTTTTTCTTGAAAGCTGTTGTGTTGGCTCAAAGCGAGAAGCCTATTCCTGTGAATGTTTATGTATCTTCCATTGTAACCTATCTTTTTATTTTATTTCATTGCAAATTGATTTGAGAATTGTGCATTTAAGGTCTGCCCGAACTGTTGTCCTTTTTTTTTTGGTGTTGTTTGTTCTGTTGGAACAAAACTAACAAAATTTCAATAAAAAAAAAAAAACAAAAAAAAAAAAAAAAAAAAACACACACTACTGCAGGCACTGGGGAGTCCGTCCGTCTGCCTGAATGAAACAAAACAGCTTGGAATAAACATCTAATACTAATACATTAGGAAACGTGGAAATGCTTTTTACAAAACTTCAGACAAAGCTATTTCTTTGACAATTTTTTTTTTTTAAACTTGTTTTTTAACCTTTGATCTAAAGCATATGGAAACTGAACTGTGAGAGATGATGATGATGATCACTGAGCTCTTAAAAACACACACGGTTGTTTGATTTAATATTAATGTTTTTTTTCTCATTATTGTTGTTATTATTGGACTTTATTTTATTTGTATTAATGACACTGAATATTAGATGTATGCTGTCATATTAAGACAGAGAGGACGAGTCATATTAAGCAACTGTTCACTTATGACATAACCGAGAGAAAATTTGCCAAGACGGGTATTTAGACATTATTTTGTGTTTATGTGTCCGTTTAAGGGCAAGTAAATGCGAAAGAGGAGTCAATTCGGTGTTCGAGCTCTATATGAAAGGGGTCTCTCTCTCTCTATATATATATATATATATAGAAGGTCATGGCAACAACAATGTGTTTTTGCCAATTTTTTAATTGGCCAAGCTAAGTTAGCCATTTTGAAATCCCACCAGTGTAAAAATGCAGGAAAGGACGTTGATATGGAAGCTATGTTTAGGTCTTTAATAGAATCTCGAGTGACCATTGAGTATACATATTACAAATACACTGATAATGTTGCTTTGTTTGAATGGAGATGGGGTGTGAGAGAGGCACTGATGACTGTGAGTGCGTATGGAAGCTTAGTTTATAATTGGTAAAATGCTTGTTATTTGTGATGTATTTTGTCTTAAACCCTAAATTGCTTTAAATAAAAGGGGTTTAAAGTCTTTCTATCTCTCCGTCTCTCTCTCTCTCTCTCTCTCTCTCTCTCTCCATCTCAATTCAATTCAGAAAGCTTTATTGGCATGACAAAGAAAATACATTTTGTATTGCCAAAGCATCCAAACAACATAGAAAATGATTTAGAACATTTAGTGCACAAAAATAATAATACTGATATCATTAAACAATAATAATAAAATAAACAAAGATTAATAAATAAAATAAATGATTTAGGATTTAGAAATCATCTATGTAAAAAACAAAAACAAACAATATTGAACATTATATACATGTGTGTAGGTCTTAGGCTGTGAGTGAATGTGTGTGTGTGTGTGTGTGTAGGTCTTAGGCTGTGAGTGAATGTGTGTGTGTGTGTGTGTGTTTGTGTGTGTGTGTGTGTAGGTCTTAGGCTGTGAGTGAGTGTGTGTGTAGGTCTTAGGTTGTGAGTGAGTGTGTGTGTGTGTGTGTGTAGGTCTCTCTCTCTCTCTCTCTCTCTCTCTCTCTCTCTCTGTGCGCATGTGCTGAGTGAGTGGGCGGAGCGCTGAGTGTTTGGCGTGTGTGTCAGGTACGAGTGATCTTTTTTTTTTCTATCTTTCTATCTTTTTGTATTGTTTTGTTTTTTGGAGATTTAAATTTAGGGATTGTTTTTTCATTTATTCGGGGTGTACGGAGGTGTTTAATAGTCTAATCTAGGGCGTCAGCTCCCGGTTATTGTACTGGGAGCATGGCTGCCCCAGGTAGCGGGAAGTTTGATTTTTTTGACGCGCCGTCATGGTGTGAAAATAGACTCAGCGGTTAGTATAGAAGACTGTAGCCTGGCTGTAGGAGAAGTGATTGGGCCTGAGAACATTCTGTCTGCGTCTCGCATGAACAGCGCTATTGTTGTGTTTGTGAAGACAATTGAATTAGCGAACCAGTTGGTAGAAATTGGAGTAGTGCTTAATGGTATTTTTACCCAAGTGCTCCCTCTTTCTACTCCTTCGAAAAAAGTGACTCTTTCTAATGTGCCGCCTTTCATTTCAAACGAAATTTTGACCAGAATGCTTTCACGTTATGGTAAATTGGTTTCTCCTATAAAAATGATTCCAATTGGGTGCAAGTCACCATTGTTGAAGCATATTGTGTCATTTAGGCGTTATGTCTATATGGTTCTTCAAGACAACCTGGACGAATTAGATCTGTCTCTAAATTTTCGTCATGAAGACTTTAATTATGTCATTTTCGCCACAACAAATACTATGAAATGTTTTGGTTGTGGTGAGACAGGGCATCTTATCCGCGCTTGTCCAGTCAAAGTGAATACGACAAATAAAAATCCTCCACCGGTTGAT